TCCCTTTTGCATATATAACAAAAAAGAATATATATATATATGTATTGTTTGCGACCAATAAAAGAAAATGAAAAAGGTGACATGTGAACATTATCTTTATAACATCCCTTGTTCCAAACGCATTAAAGGATCCATAATAATATTAAAGTATATAGTTGTATTAAATCGGTTTGATCCGGTCAATCGTGATTTTTCATTAGCCTTGTACAAATATTTGTATAAAAAAATTTAAATTAACATTTGACAAAAAAAAAAATTGTATACAAAATCATGTTCGATTTAATTTGACACAATTTTCTTATATCAAGCCAAGTTAAACCCAATCAAACGGACTATACGTTATAATAGATTTTGGATGATAAAATGTAGAATAATTTCTAAGGTGATGAAGTCTAAAGATTGAGGTTTCGCACGTGCATGGATATTTACCGGCCCATTTTCAATCTCACATGCACCGAATTCCCAAAATATTGTTTTAGTTTATTTTAATTTTAATTTTGGTTCCGGGTTTATAATGATATAAATAAATCTTTTTTTTTGGCGAAAATCCCACTAATTACATGGATATATGAATTAGTTTATATGTTATATCGGTTAATCACATAACCAAATGATATTTTAGGTTTTTTATCACTAAAAATAAAGAGGAATAAAGATTGGATCGCTTTCTTAAGTGGTCCATTTATTCTCTACCATTTATTTATAACTTATTTTGTTATCATCTCAAGGTTTGATTCTGCAATTTGATATGCTTTTTTCAATGAGAAAATAAATGAAATTCAACCGCACCTTCCTCACTGATCAATTATCAGAATTTAAAATTTTGATAGACTTTATATGTAAGTTTAAAAATTCTTTAAACTCGTCTAAATCATAATGCATCACTTTAACATACAAGATCATGACTGCGGAAATAAAATTTTGAATCAGAAAAACATACCTCCAACCATTGAAATTCTTGAGTTGAAATATGAATTCTTATAAGCTATAACAATCACAAACGATGGTGTATTTGTTATGTCTGTTGCTTAGCATAGGGACCCAGATTTATACCCTTTTAATAGTTTTTTCCCCATCAGAAAAAACTGATATTTGGCAGTTAATCATACAGTTAGCATTGAATAAGTATTGGACCACTAATCATTAACGTAGGAGTTTTCTAATATGGGCAGTTATTGAAAACTTCCAACATTATAAATATACGAACAGAATGATTGTATGTATATGTAAGGGGAATTTGTGATCATACAATTTAATACCATCGGTAATTAATCTGTTAAGACTGTAACGATTCACATTAATTACCTGGGGTGGTATTTAGATCGTCGATGTATATTTTTTTAACATATCATTTACATGTTTAACACGAGGAATATATTTTAAATGTTTGGTCTAATGAAATCGATGAGGAAAGTCTTTAGTTTACATAAATATTGTTATTACCCTGGCAAAAGAATGTATTACATTTTATATATCCAATTTTTAGGTGAATTTTCACGGGATTTTAAATATGGATATTTGAAAATAGAAAAACAATAATCAAATTCAAAAGGAGAGTGGCAGAGAGATCAGAGTCAGAGGGGACCTCACCCCGATCAAAATAAACGGGCCTTTGAGCTTTAGGGCTGACATGCACTTATTCCTCTTTCTATATACATACAAGTGACAAATAGTCCGACTATAATTATATTCTGTATATCACCGCAAAGCATATGCTATATATATATACATATCCAATCCCACCTCCAAGTTAAATACCACATTTTCATACTCTTTTTATACTTCCAACGAGTAAATTATGCTCAATATAATTGTTACCTTTCGGGAGTTTTGTATACAAACACACACACACAATATATATATATATATATATATATATATAATGAATCGGGTTCTCTCAGAATAAGAATAAGAATAAGAATAAGTAACTAAAAAGGTATGTGCACCTTATTGGTATGAATAGTTCAAATAATTATTTTAAGTTATCTATGACTGTGCAATATCTATATAACCCTCAAACCTCTTTTATTTTGGAGCGTTCGATTCATTCCTATACCTTCTGGTCTAATGGTACTCGGAGAGCTGCTCTCTATTCATGTTATTTGAACCGGCAATCACTACTCACCATCACCCTAACTCGAAATATCATAGAAAAGAATACAACGGATTAGTTGATAATTAGGGTTTTGTACTTGTTACTCTATCAACTTTGATACTATGACAATTCACCTTTTACCAAAAAAAAACTTTGATACTATGACAATTCACCTTTTACCAAAAAAAAACTTTGATACTATGACATCCACAGTATTGATCATTATTAACACGTTTAATAGATGTACCAAATGAAATACTAAATAATATCTGGATTCTTAGATATTTATATACAAATATTATAATAGTTTCCTTGGAAATTGTGGCCTTTTTATAGTTGGAGCCAAAACGTACATTACCATTTCTCCATCGAAATATATTCACTCTAAACTAATGTAATTTGTAATGAAAAATCAGTAATTAAACTGCAACACATCAATTGTTGCATCGGTCGGCAAAAATGTAAAATTTGATATGATTTATTTAAGGAAATTGATATACGCCTTAAGTAGAAAAATAAAAAGAGAAATAAAAGGCCATGATATATTTTTACAGAGTTGGATGCATGCATAGGCCATCATTGGGTTGGGCTGAAAATTACTAGTTATGGATCCTAAATACTTACTATGGGCCTAATTTGACTTCTTTTTTTTTTTTACCAAATTTGAAATTTTAAAAAATGAGAAAAACAAAGAAAAAAGGAAAAATCGTGTGAAAAAACATTAACTTTCAAATATTTCTATATAAATACACTGATTTTTTTAAAATATATGATTTTTCAAATATTGTTGTAAAAACGCATCTATTATAACGGCGTTAAACATTTAACAAAATCTTTTTTTTGGGTTAAACATTTAACCCAATCTAACATGTCCATGCCACAAAAAAATATCATATCATCGCTGAACGGAGTAATTTTTTATAAGAATTACTGGTTAATTATACATTCACAAATTAATAATTACGGAGTAATGAAATTTATATTTTTGAACATTATATATTACTATGTCATATCTAATACAAATTAGTAAGACACTTTTCGGAAATGGAATTAATATAATGTTTTTATGTTATATTGTTAAAAATATCACAATATTTAGAATCCAAGTACAAAAAATATTGTTAAATATCTCATTTCCGATATTTTCGCAGCTCTATTATTTTCAATGGATATTTTTAGAGAAAAAATAATTAAAATTTTTGAAAAAAAAAAAATGTAATCAAGTGTGTGGAATGGACATCGGCCTGATTGGGTACGGACGTTAACGTGTACCCGAACATTTGTTTTCCTCTCCAAACTCAAAATACCTAACCATAAGCAACAACAACAAAAAAATGTACCTTTCTCCACATGTGAAAATGTATCTAACTTGTGCACTTTTTGTTTCATGTTTCTTGAACATCGTCATAAATATTAACCAATCTATTTTAAGTTCCATGTTTATATATATATATATATACACTTAATTACCGAATCAAATTCGATAAAACGTTTTTAGTATTGCAAAACTCGATTCACAAAAGGATGAAAAATCGGTGTTTAAGGTATTGTAAGATGATGAGATTTTTTGGACCGACAGAAGGTATTTTTATTCATCTTTAACCCTTGTTTTTTATATATGGAAAACACGTTATCGAGAGGGAAAAAAAAAGGGTCGTCGTGGTGCATGGCTAATCGGAATAAAACGATGTGGCGTGCACTTAGCATGCGTAAATTTGGTCATGCATGTTAGCATATAGTCTAAAATTACATAATACGTACGTACGATTGTTAATCGACCGTTCTACAATGCTCTCATTATTGGATTGTTGTGTTGAAGACAAGACCCACGTGGAACCACAAAATTCGTTCACTTTGGTCATGATTGTTCTATCTTTTTTTTTTTTTTTTTGGTTCAGCGTGAGTATGAAATTAATTGATTTGCTGTATTTTATAAGCCGGTCTTCATAATAAATCTACGGCTAAAGACTATATATTTATATTTGCTTCATACATATATACATACATAAAGTATGATGATGTGGATAAATATTCCCAATTTTACATGGATGCAATCGGTTATATATATATATATATATGTGTGTGTGTGTGTGTGTGTGATGTACCTTGTAAACATCAACAAAATCAAAAGTCTAATTTCGGAATTATTATAATTAGCTTTAATCACCTTTTAATGAGCCACTAAATGAATTATTTTTTAAAATTTGGTCATAACAACCAACAAGGATTAGATGTGTGGGCCTACAATTCCTTAAAATATTCAAAGTGATTTTCCCCTTTGACATTCATTATATATTATAAAAATGTTCAGAATCTCCTTTTTAAGCAAACACTATCAGAATATTAAAAAGAAAATCTTCTTTATTTAAAAGGAAAATCAAGGGAGTAGTCTGGAGCTTTATACTTTATGATTGCAAGAAACCCATTATAATAACTCAATTGCATGCTTTACATATATGATAGTTTATGATCTTATAATAATTTAATTAATCTCAACTTAAACATGAACATAAAAATAATATTAGAGTGATTAATATCTTGATTAAGATAATCATGATAAATAGTATGAAGCTTTACTTCCAACTTTTGCATAAAAAAATAGCAAGGAGAACGATATGAATCTATTTATATCAACTTTATTGTATAATTAAGCGTCGAACATATATACCATAACATCATATGATAAATTCGTCATGACTGTTGTAATGCTTAGCTATCTGTGAATATATTTTAAAGGGAAAAAATTAGGTGAATATTTATTCACCATAAAGATATTAGTAATTGTGTTAATATATTCTTCAATATATGTAAGGAACAATCAATTTCATTCATTCACTCATTCACCAAGAAAGGAAACAATATATATATATATATATATATATATATAGAGAGAGAGAGAGAGAGAGAGAGAGAACCACATTCATTCACATGAAACACACTTTTGCTGTCCTAATTGGACATTGAAACGAATTACAATGTGTATTTGCGATTGGCACATTTCGTCGTTCAGACGACAACATAATACATCGGAAATCTTTTATTATTCCCTAACATATGAACCCTAGATATTATTTAGACCAAGAAATATAGATTTTCAAGAACAATCTCAGAAACAATTAAAACCACAAGAAAACCAATTTCAAAGACAAGAGCATCGATCGGCTGTGGTCATCCTCGTCTTCCATCACCTCCAATCCCAACGCCTCTTAAATCTTAATTTCTCAAAGAATCTTAACCCTTTGAGAGATCAAAGGGGAAAGCCAAACCAAAACAAACCCACAAAAAAAAAAAAAAAATTACACGCAAAAACTTGCTTCCTCAATTCAAATAAATACTCTAATTAGTAGTTTCATCGGTATACATACATATATATAACACAAACACAACACACATACACAGACAAGAACAAGTATATGTATATATAGGCTTTCTAATTCCCGTTGGAACTAGGTGGTGAATCACACTCGCAAACAACCTCGGTTTCGACCTCCCTCCGGTGGAAATTCCGGTGACAGTTACAAGCGGCGCATGTTAGAGCGGCGTCCGAGCCTTCCTCGCCGCTGGCCATGAACTCACGGCATCCATCCACGGCATAGCCTCCCACCGCCGCCGCATGGTTCTTCTGACACTCTCCGTACCTAACGCTCCTCACCGTCAGCGACGAAGCCGTCGATGAGCTTCTCGAACTCTCCTCCGACGTTCTCCTCAACACCACTTGACGCTTCCTCATCCTTCTCTTGATTCCTTCTTTCTGTTTCTCTCTCTCAAATTCTTCTCTTCTATAAAACGTGGGAGGAATAATATATATAAGAGACGAAGGCAAAAAAAAATGTTCCCTTTGTTTGTTTTTTTTTTTCTTTTATGGTGGGAGACGGAAAAGATGGGAGAAAGATGGCTGTTATACTTGATGAGTTGTTCTATTTGCGAACCCTAACCCTAGGTGGGATATTTATAGATATTTTTATAAGAAATAATTAACAGCGCCCTTATATCCATATTAGTTTATGCATTTATGGATGCTACATCACTATATAGATTTTGATCGAAACCCACTAAGCCATTCTTGGTATCATTACTTTCTTTACCACGCACACACACATATACATATATATAGATAGGAAATTGCATACGATTAACTTCTTCCATTATATGCTTTTATACAATTTATCAATTGACGTCACTAAGCAATTTAAACAGCTATCACTGACGATCTATGGGATCCTAATCACCTTTGAATTGATGCTATATCTTATCTCAATAATCCCTACTATTAGATTTTTTTTCTGGTTTTGTTTCGTTGTTGCACCCCTCCTCCAGGATTCGAACCCTTGACCATAATTAGAAAAGCTAGTACATTTAGCCATAAATAGGTCAAAGATATTTTCATATACAAGTATGTAATTACGTACATGCATACATACAGACATTCATATATATATATATATGTATATATATATATGTTACTTTTTATTATGAACTAGAACGAAACACCAAAGAAAATAATCATTTTGAAAGGATTCTCCGACCACCATCCCTCCAAAACATATATAATAACAAAAATAAGAATAAGAATAAAATGCTAAAAAAGAAGTAATGCATAGAAAGAAAAAATAATTACAAGTTGATATAATTGATATAATTAATACATATGGGAGGGGATTCGAAGTTGGTTCGATGGCCAACAAAACCCTAAAATGATGAGAGAACTTTTCTTTAAGACCAAACAAAGTGATTGGTTTTAAAAGGAATGAAACAGCTAAGCTTTGTCTTCTTTTAAAACCTAATATGTACTGTGTGTGGCCCCTTAACCCCATTCCCTTAGTGCCTTTAATTTGTTTTCCCTTCTTACATAGCCTTATTTTCCTCATTCTTCATTCTCCCACTGTAAAGCTTATTATATATATATATATGTAACAATATAAACATGTGTTATCGGCTCCAACATGTACTGTTATTGGTGTTTGGCCTTTTCTTGATCAGATCAATTCCGATCCCTTTGTCCAAAACGACCAATGAATATCTTTGTGTATTCGTATACTAAACGGAAGAATAAGCATTTGTAACTTTTCCGAGGTGGCACTACCTTTGATGGACATGAAAAATATCTTGTCCACTCCGGATTCGAGTATCATGAAATAAAATGGGTATTTTATTACATGCCTTTTATATCGTGAGAGACATATCTTGTTTATTTACGTATCTGTCTTTCAATCTATTTTGTTTGCGTATGTCTATATATATATATAGGTCTTGACCTAATAACGTGATTCTCATAAGTTGGGCAGCCAGATATTTTTGTACGTCAGATCAAAGCAAACGTCCACGATGTATTTGCCCGTTTGCCGATACGTATTGAACTCAGCAGCACACGTGTAACACTCATTCGCGTATTGTTTTTAAGTATTCAATTTGGAGGTTTGGAACTTATACCATAATAATATCATACCCCATAGACCTTATAATTTGTTCGAGATTCTCAATATATATATATATATATATATATATGTGTGTGTGTGTGTGTGTGTGCGTGTGTGGATTTAGGTCATTTCGATTTAGTATATATTTTCGTAGATTTACTTATTTTCTCTCACATAATCATTTTGATATAAGGTAAGAGGAACCAACCATACGCTAAATACTCCGGTATTGACATGCAAGTCCATGTTGTTGCAGTCTATAACTTTTACTTGATCCAGAAACTTATCAAGTCTTGATATTGAATATAGTATAATGGTTAAGATGGGACCATTATTGGTACCTATTCATATATACGCATATATAACTATAATATAACAACAACCAAAAATTAAGGTAAGATAATTAATATACATTAATTTTGATTTGGATTTTGTGGGAAGTCAATGTAGATAGCATTATTGTTCCAGTAATATTTTTTTTGAAAAAAAATATTCTCCCTTTTCCATTTTTGTTGTGGGTAATTTGTAATCAATTTAGAAAATATTCTATATTCGTCGGACCATCTATGGATCATAAATCATATCATGCATGCAAAAAAAGGGCTTTCCATGCTTGAAAAAAGAACTCAATATATTTGTAAACTTCATCACCTCCAAGAAACAAAAGGTTCGCTCTTTTCCTTATATATTTTTTTTTATCAACTAAAATCTGTTTTATTTTGAGATTCCTTAAATATTTAGTGTGAAGAGTAATAAAAAAAACTAAAACAAAATCATTGATGGAAAAAAAGATTTTGGTGAACAATCTCTTGAATCGTAATTCAAAAACAAATTCTATGTATACATCTTTCACCAATCGGTATCGAATCTAATCCGAATCTAATCCGAATCTAATCCAAATAATTATTTAGTATTTAGACAAGATTGCAAGTTTTTTATGACAAGGACCAAAGTGGAATAATGATGATCACTAGAGATTTGAGCAGAAAAGCAAAGCAAAGAGCTTTGTGTTTCTCAACAACCCAACCCTAATCCCCCAGTTTCCATTAGTGATGTGTAATCCTTGTGGTTCTCCACAGTGTAAACTCTTCACATGTCACTTCTACTAGTTCTGCTTAGATAAGGAATCTTAGGTTTTGCTCTACTACAATATATAATAATAATAATAATAATATAATTATCAAATATAATCTTTTATTTTTTGTTTTAAGTCCACAATATACTTGGTTTATAATATGGACTGGTTACAAGTAGGATTGTAACCACGATCATGAAATTAGAGAGAGAAAAATAAATAAAACGTGACATTTGTTGATAATGGCGAATTAATGGTAATTAATTAAGAGAGCTTTTTTTTATAGACTCGCTGTAGTCAAAGTCAAAATATAAGACTAGATTCCGCTCCTCTAATGCTCTCTTAGAAAGCCCACCAGCAAAAAGCATGAAAAAAAGAGTTTTTTTTTTAAATTATTGAAATTAAATTAACACTCCATTAGGTATAATTGACGGTTTAAATTAGCCCTACCAAAGTTTAACTATTGGCTAATCCACTGTAAAATATCATTTTTTTTAATCTATTGAGAGATGCTTGGATTCCGAAAATTGAAAATGACATCTCCTCGAGGATTGCCATTTTTTTTTTATTCCGAGTTCACTAAGCTTCTGTATTTTAATTTTCTAATTTTTATGTTTTCGTCACAGGTTAATCATATTCAACTCTTTATCTAAATTTATATCTTTTGTTTCGGATATTTGTTTTTTTTATAACGGTAGTCTTATGATTATATTTTAGTTATGGACGTTAGGAGTTAGAATTTAAACTCTGCCCATGCATGTGTCATTAGAGTTATATTGTTCTAGTTCATTTTATTATAATTATCTATCATATAATTTCATACTACCATTCCATTAATTTTTATTATAAAATGGGCTATTTTTTTAATTAGTCTGTGAACACGATTTACATTTTACTCATGTAAATAATCCGTATTTTCCGTTAGATTAATTAGTTTGTAAAATGTGAAATATATATTTAAAAAAAATTAGATTAGATGGGTGGACCAAGATTACTTTGCCACTGTAATGGAAATGATATCAATGAGAAGAGAAGGGATAAGAATAAGTACGAAATAAGCTAAGCAGAGCCACAGGCCATGGTTATGAGTAGTACAAATAAATTAGGGAAAATGCCAAAATTTATAAACAACAAGTGAAAATCGATAATAAGTCTTAATTACCTGTCAACGTCTCTTACTCCTATTTGTAACAGCGAGTATAATTATAGATTTATCATGATGATGATGATGATGATGATGATGATGATGGTGATGCAAGAATAGATATTTTAAGTGGTGGGATATATGCAAATGTGATGGATATGGATTGTCATGTTTTTTTTTCCTATATGGTTATGAATAAAATATGTTATATTCAAACGTCCCAATCAAATGTAATGGAGCCACATGGGTGTAATGTAATAAATAGAAGCTAAGAGATTGGGCTTTGTAGAGCTCATGCATGGATATCACATGATTCTCTATTCCTTAATAGCTGTTAGGCAATGGCTCCCATGGGCCCAAAACCAATTCCAATGTGTATTCCCTCATACATACATACATACATACATACATACATACATACATACATACATACATACATACATACATACACATGGATGCATATATACATACATACATACATACATACATACATACATACATACATACATACATACATACATACATACATACATACATACATACATACATACATACATACATACATACATACAAATGTGTATTCCCTCATACATACATACATACATACATACATACATACATACATACATACATACATACATACATACACACGTACATACATACGTACACATGGATGCATATATACACGCATACATACCTACACATGCATATATACATACTATAGGTTTCATTTCTCTTTTGGAATAAAAAATAAATTTACGTATTTTCCTATTCCATTTGCAATTTGCTTATTTGTATTTTCATCTATATACATATATCAACGTATATGTCATATGTGTATACACACACATATATACAGATCAGATGCATACGGCATACATATATATATCTTAATTTATTTTTCTGCGAGTCACAGATAATTTGCATATATCGAACATGGGCTATACAAAAGAAGCATACAAATAGGGGACGAGTAATAAATATACCTCGTTTAATTAAAGATGCCTTTTTCAATTCACAATTACATTAACTCATTTATGTGAAACTATATTTACAGTGATTCATTTGTTGGAGTTAAAAAGTAAATATGCAAAACAATATTCAGATTAGACTTTATAAAGTAAATATGCAAAACAATTCATTTGTAGTGACACTACATTTATATAACTCTAAATATTATTTGGATTTATCTCAATTATGTAAATCTTACCATGGTTTACGCTTAACTGTAATATATAGTTGTCTTATAACCTGAGATATTCATTTATTTCACCGAAAGCTATGTTTTTTCACATTATGGTTTATTCCATATTTTATGTGACTGGAAAATAACAAAAAATGAATTGCCAGTGGACTAATTAAGGAGAATTAATAACAAAAGCAAAATGCATACGGTTCACGCCTCGCTTCACTTTACAGCAGAGGACTAGCAGTTTATAAGCTGTATATTTCTTGTTCATTTCCACCCTTTTTTTTAATAAATAATAATAACTTATATAAAATATACATTTCATTCAATCTTAAAATATTAAAAATATATGACACAAATTTATTTTAAAAAAAAAGTTAGACAGGGTTCACATGTATATTTCAGGACAACCTGTATATTTCCAAAGCAATCCATATCTATATACTCTCATATATATACACACACACGCATGCATACACATATCTACAGGTATCGAGAAATATAAAAATATTGGGAAAATTATAAATAATTATTTACAGGGCAGTGAGTCCAACATTTTTTTTAACGCATACATGATAGGAATATATAATCGTTAATATCTGTTTCCATATTTTTTTTAAAAATAGTTTCAGTTAATATTGATCAGAACCCATAATTCTGAATTTGATCGGAATATTTGGGGACTAAAGATTCAAATAAATGAATCTTTTTATTGTTATAAAAATGGATTTTTTGTATTACAAACATTTAATTATTATATTAAACTGATGATCGGACGTTTATTTTTATTTTTATTTTTAAGAACGGACGTTTATTTTTAGCTGAACAAAGCACAATTAAACTGATCGAACTGTTGTGGCTCAATGATTAACCCCTAATTAAATCAGACCTAGAGGGGCGGATAATTCCTTCCATTTAATTTGATTTTTTATTTTACAAACTTTTTTGTTTTTGAAAATATACAGCAACTTTATACTTGTTTCACAATACATTTCATTTTATATTTTTTCATAGTTTTTAGAAAAATATTAAAAAAAGTCATATATACTCTCATTAAATCATATTCTCATTAATAGTCTATCAAATTAAATATTTTTAATTAAGGATAAAATTAGAATTTTTTTTTAAAATCACCTAGAAAATCTAAAACGACATCTATCAAGATATAAAAAATATTCTCTCAAACGACAATTAATCAGAAATGGAGGGAATAATATTTATGTTTTAAAAGGAAATTTTATTTAGAGTTTTAAGGTATTTTTATTTTTAGATAGAATAAAGACTCCAAGCAAACCTTACACTAATATATTTATTATATTATCATGAAGAAATGCGGTATTGATTTTCTTCTTTTTTTAAACTTAATTTTACCTTGGAATCACAAGTTACAATATCATAAAAAAAAAGCAGTTGTACAAAAAAAAAAGGAAGAAAAAGAAGAAGAAAATGCGAAATCAATGGTACCATTGACATTTTTTTTTATACTCTTGCATGGTGACACCTCATGCGGGTCACAAGTTTACAAGAAAAAAAAAAGTCAAAACATTAATGCTTCATTTCTTTCAATAAATAAAATATGTCAATTCTTCCCCCCCTTTTTTTTCCATTTCTTATCGACTTTTTGTTTTTTCTGCTCCTTCTCGTCCCCATTTATTTCATGCAATAAATTCTATTGATCTAAGTCTAATTATATTTATGTACATGCATGTGTGTGTGTGTATCGAATTCACCAATTGCAAGGCCATCTTTAAATTTACACTTTATTGAGTGACCAGAAATTATTGGTGTGGCACCATGTAAGTAACGCTATATTTTTTTTTTCATGAGTTGCGAGTAAATTAACATATGATATCGATGTGTAATTTGTTATAATTATCGATGTTAAAAAAAGAACATATATATTTTTTTTATTACAAAATGAAAACAACAGCAATAAAATAAGGAATACGAATTTACGTCAGAGGTAAAACCAACAAAAACAATAATGATTAAGCCCGAGAAGATCTAGGAGAGTTAATTTCAGAGATCAAAACCGGGGAAAATTAAGGACCCTAAAATTAGAACGAGGTTAAACAAAAAATTCAGATGAAATTAGGGTTTTCATCCAACAGAATATCACCAGAATCCTCGAACAGCCACTTCTCGAACAGAGACCACTGGCTTTGCTTTGGTTTTGGTTTGACCTCATCAGGTGAAACAGCAGATCGGAATGATTCGAACCCGGGAAATGATTGAAATGCCCCTCCACCCTCGATCCCGACTCCTTTCTTGATCTCGATTTTGGAGTCGAAATCGTTCGAAGCAAGTTGGTTTTTAGAGTCCTGAGTCTTGATCGAGTTCTTCGCCCATCCTTTGAGCAACTTTGCTATGTTATCAGTGCTCGAGGCGTAAGGGTTCGATCTTTCTTGCGTTCCAAGAAACGAGCTCACTGAAGCAGAATGTTTGGATTCGGAGGAGGAAGACGTGGTAGCAGCGATCGGTATGGAAGGTGACAAGGCCTCAAAGAGGGCTTTTTTGGCCATGTGGATGTCGGTCTGAAGGTGTCTCTCCCATTGGCCCCTCGAGACGTTTGAATTGGAATTAGCAGAGGAAGATGACATGGAAGGAGATGTCGAGAATTGATCGTCGGATTGGTCAACTTCTCGAGGAGTTTTGTTGAGCTTCTTCTTCAAATGGGTGTTCCAATAGTTCTTGATGTCGTTGTCTGTTCTCTGTGGAAGATAGGATGCGATTGCAGCCCATCTATATATATACCCCACAAAACATGTAACATTTAATGCATTCATTGGCGATGATGACGATGATAAACATTGAGCCTTCAATTTGGTTGCATACCTGTTGCCTAGGAGGGCTTGGAGATGGATGATCATCTTCTCTTCGTGTTGCGTGAAATTGCCTCTTTTAATCCCTGGCCTTAAGTAATTTGTCCATCTAAGCCTGCAGCTTTTGCTGCATCTAAGTAATCCTGAGGAATAAAATCAACGAAAACTTACAAAAAAGATCAAAACTTTATGACAAAACAAGGCCTCCTCTCTCATCATGATCTGGATTTTTTTTATCTTTAGCTTCTTCTAACAAAAAAAAAACATTTAGACATCTAGACAAGGAAACAAAACCCTAATATAAAAAAAATGGGGGTTTTGAAGCGATGATCATCCGATCTATATATGCTCACTGATCTAGAGCTAAACATTCATACATGAAACCCAAATCTCTCTCTCTCTCTCTCTCTCTCCCATCAGTTATAAACCCGATATATGAACACAAATGAAAGATCAAAGCGTCAAGGGATTATTACCTGTATTGGCGGGAACAGCTCTCCAGTTACCAGGACCATGTTCTTGAATGTAAGTGACCAAAATGATGTCTTCCTCAGGAGTCCATGGCCCTTTCTTTACTCCTTCTTTGTGACAACAGGGAGGCCTAACCATTTTTTCCCTCCTTTAATCACCTAAAATCTCTTCCTTTTTTTTTTAATCTAATCCCAAGAAAAAGAAGAAAACTTTCTTTGTCGAAACGGTTTGTTCGGCACTACCCTTTGGTCACTGCTGTACAGCTCTTTGCTTTGGATCTTGGGTTAGAAAGCTTGGCGACAGAGGTCTATATATGTCCACATGTTCTTCTATATATATATCAAAGAGAAGAGAAGAGAAATGCTGACCCTCCCTCTTGGGTCTACGCATTAAACAGCACAATTAAAATGAAATAAGATAAAGAAATATATAAAATGAGAGAGAAATGTGTAAAGCATTAACTACAGAAGTGAAGTTATGGCCTCCAAAGTCAGATGTGCGGCGAAATGAAAGTCTCTTGCCCTCCACACAAAAACGCGTCGCATTCAATGTGGGCTTGCTCGTTTTCGAACCCTAAAAAGCAAATCAAGAAAAATAAAAGTATAGATTATCATCGAAATAATGTAATTGGGACATGTTATTCATGCCCCTTTTGATTTATTGCTGCAATTTTATATGAGAATACTAGCTATATACATATATATAGCTATGGTGTGTGTAGGGCCTTGTTAATAATAGAACAATGAAAGGATCATTTAATGAAGAACACGATTTGCATTGTGTCAAAATATTTGCTGTTATAGTTCCATCGATCAAAACGAAATAAAAATTAAATAATAAGAATAATAATATTAACAATAAATGATCATCTTGCTGTCTCGGATTGAACTAGTGGGTCTTGGCATTTGTAATATTACAACGTTGTTTACGTCATTCATGATGTTCGTGGATTTTGTTATATGCATACGTATACACTTACGTATTTGCATATGTAAAGATCATTTTTCTGCCATATACATCTATATTGTATATACGTTTGTGTGTGCGAAGCGTGTATCATTACACATACATGCATGCGTATGTACATACATACCATTAATTTGGGTTTCACGAGACGAAATTCATGTCCACGTATATCATCACTTTTGTTGATTTAGAATATATATATGTGTATCATATATGTATATATATTTCACAATTTGAAAAATTTAAAGGAAAAGAAAGGAATATTTCGAGGGCCATTTCAAAATGTGAAATGTTACTGTTAAATATATTATCTTTAATTTTATAAAATATTTCACACAAGGCATTATAGTGAAAGATTAATTAAACTATTGGATGACGTTTAGTAAGTATAAAATCCTTGAAAGATGTTTTTGAGTTATGGAAAATGCCATGGTGTGCATAAATTTGAATAATACCAAACCCAATCAAAAAAACCATATATATGTATTTAAGAGTCGATAAGAAGAATCAAAACAATTTATATAACCATATTAAAATTGAATCTGATCTAAAAATTGATTGAATATAATTTTTTAACAATCAAATTTATTAAATCTAAATAAAATCTGAACCAAAAAAAATACAAAAATATTTTTAAAAATAAATATTTTTAATAAAAACTACTACCAACCGAATCAAACTGAAAATTAATATGAAAATTTATCAAAATTATATTGTATAAATATAAAAATAAAATAAAAGAATTAAACTAAAATATGATGAAACTAAAATATCCATTGCATGATCATTTGTTTATAGTTTTTTTATACATAATGGGATTGATCGTGTGTATATTTTGGTGTATCATTCAGTTTGGAAACTTTGCATATTAGAGTCTGTATTTCTTTTTGTGACTTAGGTCAAAGACAGTGTTATATGCTCTGTATAATCTTGGCCGACAGAAATGAAAAGACACAGAAAAACTTTTCTGCACTTTGGTTTGTACCGTGTCATGGTATTAGAGCCTGGTTAAAACAAACCAACCGATCTAGAAATCTTCACTCATGTCTTCTGACAGCAATCCCGACTCCAATACGACTCCACCTCCGACCACGAACTCGACTGAAGACTCAATAATGACTACAGCCCCAGCAACGACACCGACCATGATTTCCATACGACGAACGATCTTGCCGTATGACCTTACACCCGCGACAATCCCGGACTCATCCTCTCGCAGCCGCTATTGCGTAGGGATAATTATGATGAATGGGCCATTAACATCCGCCAAGCTCTCAAGTCTCGCAAAAAGTTTGGTTTTGTCGATGGATCTATTCCGAAACGAGCAACAGATTCTGCTGATTTTGAAGACTGGGATACAAAAAATGCTCTACTTGTATCCTGGATCAAGAATACGTTGGAACCGCCTCTTCGATCAGACGTGGTCCACCACGAATATGCGAAAGATCTGTGGGATTATCTCAAACGGTGTTTTGGAACATCCAATGCGCCTCGTCTTCTCAAGATCCTCAGCGAGTTAGCCAACTGCCGACAACACGGAATGAGTGTCGAGGCATACTTTGGGAAGCTAACCAAGCTATGGGATGATCTTGCTAATTTTCAGACTTTGAAAATCTGCACATGTGGGAGATGCATCTGTGATGTCGCTGCCTCGATTGAGAATGAGAGAAACGAGGATCGCTTGTATGAATTTCTTCTTGGCTTAGATGACACTCGCTATGGTACAGTTCGCTCGAACTTACTCTCGCGCTTGCCATTGCCGAGCCTAGAAGAAGCATACAACATCGTAACTCAGGAAGAAGACTCGAAACGCGTCTATTCCAGTCCGGACGACCGCACTGAAGTTGCTGTCTTTGCCATAGCTACTGGACACCGACCACGACCGAAACACGACGACAGAGACAAATCTGTCCTTTGCACCAACTGTGGCCGAGTTGGTCATATTGCCGAGGGTTGTTTCCAAATCATTAGTTTCCCTGAGTGGTGGGAAGACAGACCTCGCAATCGCCAAAGTGCTAATCGCAGCAAGGGAACTTCGCCTTCGACAATCGTCACCGGTCGCGGTCGTTCTGCTCCTGTTCGAGCAAACGTGACTCAGGTTGCAAATTTTTCTTCTGCTGGGACCACAGCTGTATCTGATGCGGACAAACACATGGTTAATAGGCTGACCTCAGAGCAGTGGCAGGCCCTCATGACAATGCTCAATGGAAACAAACTGGGAGAAACAGAGACATTGTCGGGTAAGTCCTCTACTCTTTCCTGGATTCTCGATATAGGTTGTACACAACACATGACAGGAGACTTGTCCACCCTGACCGACGTCTCTCCTATGTCTCCTTGTTCGGTGATTTTGCCGGATAACCGTCAAGTTCTGTCGGTTCAGTCTAGATTTGTTTCGCTTACACCTCGACTTCGCCTGACAAATGTCTTCTTTGTACCCGGCCTACATTGCAATATGATCTCCTCTCTCAATTGTTGGCTGCAAGCAGTTGTTTTGTCACATTTGCTCACAATTTTTGTGCCATTCAGGACCGCACTTCCAAGATGTTGATTGGAGCGGGTGAACAAATTGTCGGACTCTATTACTTTCGTGGATTAGCAACAGTAGCAGCAACTCGAGCTTTGGATACTCAATCAGTGGATTTGTGGCATAAACGGTTGGGTCATCCTTCGACGAAAGTACTTATGCAGATTTCTGAATTTAGTTTTCCAAAAGACAGTTGTTTTGAGAATAAAGTTTGTGATGTTTGCTTACGAGCGAAACAAAGTCGAACTATTTTTCCTTTGAGTATCAATAAAGCTGCAGGAATATTTGATTTAATCCATTGCGATTTGTGGGGTCCATATCGACATGCGTCTTTCTCTGGTGCAAAGTACTTTCTTACTATTGTGGATGATTTTTCTCGGGCTACTTGGATCTCATTGCTTACGGCTAAGCATGAAACTCGGACTCATCTTCGAAATTTTATGGTTATGGTGGAACGACAATTCGACAAGCATGCCAAGACTGTTCGTTCAGACAATGGGTCTGAATTTATTAGTCTCCGACCATATTTCTCTGAACGTGGAATTCTACATGAGACCTCTTGTGTTGGTACTCCGCAACAAAACGAACGGATTGAACGAAAACATCGCCACATCCTCAATGTTGCAAGATCTTTGTTATTTCAAGCTCATCTTCTGGTGCAATTTTGGGGTGAAAGCGTCTTAACGACTGCTTATTTAATTAACCGTACTCCTTCGTCGGTTCTTAACGGAAAACGCCATACGAACTCCTACATGGTCTTCCGCCGCGATATGACTGTCTTCGTGTGTTTGGCAGTTTGTGCTATGTGCACAATCAGAATCGTGACGGGGATAAGTTTGCTTCTCGCAGTTTTCGGTCTGTTTTTGTTGGATATCCATCTGGACAAAAAGGGTGGGGCGTTTATAATCTTGACACACAGAAATTCCAGGTTTCGCGAGAAGTAATTTTTGTAGAAGACGTTTTTCCTTTTCAGAATGAAACTGTACCTTCTCCGGCTGCTTTACCCGCTCCTCAGCCTCCAGTGTTTGGTGTTTTGGATGATGACGATGTTATTCTGCCAAACCATGCTACTGCGTCCTCCTCTGAACCTCGTTCTGTACAGTTGCATGGAGATATCATCAACGAAGCACGAGTTTCTACTGAATCTGATCCAATAGGGGATTCTTCGCCGTCTGGAAATAGAGGCTCGTATCCTTCTACCTCCGATGACAGGGGGGCTCGTATTCTTTTGCCTTTGACAACAATGAAGACAGCGAACCTACCAGTGTACCTCTCTCTTTGCCAGAACATCACCCTGCTTCGCCTGAACTCGGGCGTGGACAACGCCAGAAATTTCAGAATGTTCTATTGCGGGATTTTGTTTCGAATGCTGTGACAACATCACGCTCTGATGTTCCATCAAGTACCCAGTTTTCTATTGAAGATTACATCTCCTACGCTAAAGTTTTGCCAAATCACAAACGATTCCTTGCTGCTGTGACCTCTGCTCGAGAACCAAGATCTTACAAAGAGGCTTTCAAGATGCTCGCTGGCGCGAAGCTATGCAAGCCGAAATTTCTGCTCTTGAGACGAATCAAACCTAGACTTTGTCTGACCTCCCTCCAACCAAGAAAGCTATTGGATGCAAGTGGATTTATCGAATCAAATATCGCTCCGATGGAACTGTCGAACGCTATAAAGCTCGCTTGTCATTCTCGGTAACAAACAGACAGAGGGCGTCGATTATGGGGAAACATTTGCTCCAGTGGCAAAGATGGTGACGGTACGGACTTTTGTTGTAGTTGCTGCTGCCCGCAATTGGAATGTTCATCAAATGGACGTTCATAATGCGTTTTTTCACGGTGATTTAACCGACGAAGTGTACATGAAGTACCCCCCGGTTTCACCGCTTCTCACTCCACACAAGTTTGTCGCCTCCGCAAGTCATTGTACGGCCTGAAACAGGCTCCTCAGTGTTGGTTCGCAAAACTCGGTTCGGCCTTGCGACAATATGGTTTTCATCAGTCACAATCTGACCACTCATTGTTCATCTACCAAAATGGACACAAGCGACTGCATGTTCTCATTTACGTAGATGATATCCTCGTCACTTGCAATTCGGAATCAACATTAACCTCCTTCAAGTCGCATCTTGGCTCTTGCTTTCGCATGAAGGACTTCGGTATGTTGAAATATTTTTTGGGTCTTGAAGTGGCACGAGGGCCCTCTGGATTTCATTATGTCAACGTAAGTACGTCCTCGACATTCTAACTGAGACCGGGATGCTCGGATCTAAGCCAGTTTCCTTTCCACTCGAGCAGAACCATCGCTTGGCAATTTCTACCAGTGAGATTCTTGCAGATCCTGAACTGTATCATCGCATCGTCGGTCGCCTTCTGTATTTATTGGCTACCAGACCCGGACATCACCTACTCCGTCCATGTACTTTCCCAATTCATGCAATCTCTCCGACTCGACCATTGGGAAGCGGCGTTGCGCGTCGTACGTTATTTGAAAGGAAATCCTGGACAGGGCATCCTACTTCGAGCTGATTCTGATCTCTGTCTATACGCTTGGTGTGACTCCGACTGGGCGGGCTGTCCTTAGTCTCGCAAATCCCTCTCCGGTTGGCTTGTCCATCTTGGACATTCACCGATCGCCTGGAAGTCTAAGAAGCAACAAACAATATCGCTTTCGTCAGCAGAGGCAGAGTATCGTGCCATGTTTGTTGCGACATGCGAACTATTATGGCTGAAGGGTCTTCTCCAGTCGCTTGGGATTGATCATTCGGACCCGATGTTGCTTTACTGTGACAGCAAGGCTGCACTTCACATTGCCGACAATGACGTGTTCCATGATCGCACAAAACATATCGAGATAGCTTGCCATTTTCTGCGTGATCACATCAGCCGCAACACGGTCCAGACTCATCATGTTTCTACCAACCACCAGCTCGCTGATATCTTTACGAAGGCTCTCGGCAAGAAGGAATTCGATGTCTTCTTAGACAAGTTGGGCTTGCACAACATCTACGCACCAACTTGAGGGGGGTAATGGGATTGATCGTGTGTATATTTTGGTGTATCATTCAGTTTGGAAACTTTGCATATTAGAGTTTGTATTTCCTTTTGTGACTTAGGTCAAAGACAGTGTTGTATGCTCTGTATAATCTTGGCCGACAGAAATGAGAAGACACAGAAAAACTTTTCTGCAATTTGGCTTGTACCGTGTCAATACATAATGTTTGAATAATTCTAACTTTTATAAGTTGTTCAATTATATAATCAATATATTGTATAATTGTTGTTTAATGGGAATAACTGTGGTTAACTATTATGGATCTGAAAGTATAATTTGGCACACGTATAGAGGTTAAATAAAACATATAGATACCAATTTAGTTAATTTTCAATTTTGTTAGGAATTTAAAGAGAATGAAAATTTTAATTAAGGGTAGTGATCACCAAGCTATGCGTATAGAAAATCTCGTAGTCACCCATTTGTTACAAGAAAAATATTCTAACGAATTATTATTATCTTAGTAACACCCACGCTATTGTGAACAATTTGAGTTTGGTCTGGTAAAGGCTGAAGAAAGGGAGAGATCGAAAGAGATTGTTCGAAGGAGAGAAGGAAGACTCTGAAGAAAAAACAATACTCTGTATATTGCCTTCGATGAAGTTCTCCAGCATGAATATGCTTACATATATAACAAGGTAATAATTTACATAAGAAAAGGAAATAAAATAATATCTAAAAGAATAGAAAGGAAAATTTACTTTTAAGTGGTGCTGAATTATTGTAAAGTGGAATCAATCACCAACGGCCGATCTTGTGCGATACGTTCTTCTGACATATTTTCTTGGGTTGTTCATCTTCATTTGTTGTTTCTTGTTTTCCAAGTAAGCTCTCGTGTTCTTCAGTCATATGCTTCGGACATATGTTTACACTACAAAAAAAATGGTCATTTCCAACGGGCAAATCCGTTGGAAATGACCAAATTTCCGTTGGAAATTAACGTTTTCAACGGATTTCCAACGGATAAATCCGTTGGAATTTCGTCGTTAGAAAACGGTGTCCGTTGGAATTTTCAACGGAATTTCAACGAATTTTTCCGTTGGAATTTTCCAACGGATTTCCAACCGCAATCCGTTGGAATTTTCCAACGGATTTCCAACGGATTTATCGGTTGGAATTTTCCAACCGAATTTCCAACCGATATCCGTTGGAATTTTCCAACGGAATTTCCAACCGCAATCCGTTGGAACATTCCAACAAAAAATTCAAAATATATTCTCGATCCCGACCCCGGCCCCGACATCTATCCCGATACCGATCCCGATCCCGATCCCCCGGCCCAACTCCGACCCCGA